GGATGGATGGAGTGAGTCTATTTCGTTTTCCTAGGTCAAAGTCAACGAAGGAAAAACCTCCAAATCGTTCGAGTTTGACCAAGTCATACCACAGGAAACTGTCAATGAAGAGGTAGGGAAATCCCAAGAAACAGTGCTAAGCATTTTGTTAACAATATCCACTTAATGATATCTTAACTGGTGCATTAGACCTTTTCGGACTTGGGCGTAATCAGGTTTACCCATTTCAGATCACGTGTCATTCCCTAGAGTATCCCGAGAAGACTCATAAATATGGATATAACCCAAGCAAAGAATATTATTCTCAGGAAAATGGCACGTGGTCTGAAATAGGAACACATTATGCCCAAGCCTAAAAGGTCTTTTTACAATAACTTACAAATTTCTCGCGCGCTGTTTGGTTATTTTTTATCATCGATAATAGGACAGACAGATAAAGCTGACGTCAACGATCGCGCGCTCTTTCCGCTGGTTGTTTTGATCGCTATAAATGAGACGTTTTTATCGTGTTTGTTATTGTAAAAAACAAATAGACATCAGTTTTTTATGTGTCTGTCCTCTTATTAAAAACACAAATCACATTGTCAAAGTAGTATGTGGATCCACCTCGGCTACTCCTCGTGGATCCACACTACTTTGACAATGTGATAACGCAATTTATCGTCAATAAGAGGACAGACACATAAAAAACTGATGTCTATTTGTTAAATTCCTTTCCCAATGAGGAATCTGGAGAAGAACGGGAGAGTGGGGGAAATCCAAAAGCGTTTTTATTGTAACTGCAGGTTTACAAGATCATTGGAAAGCCACTTGTAGAGGCTTGTCTGACTGGGTTGAATGCCATCCTGATGGCTTATGGACAAACTGGAGCAGGTAAGCAAAAGAGAATATAAAACTGAAGTACTTTATCGAACCTTTACATCAAAGTCAGGGCAAGGCTAAATCCCAAATCAAACTTAAAGCCCTGTTACACGTTGAAACTTTTAGGCGAAACTTGTGTGCAACAGCGTTGCGAGACAAGTTTCAGAAGCAATTGCACCGTGTAACACCCCAGCTTTTGTGAAACTTTCGTCGCGAGAAAGTTTCACGAAAATTAGAACTGCTTTCTACTTCTGCAACCGAAACTTGTGTTGCGAACAAGTTTCAGGACGAAATTGCGCCGTGTAACACCCCTGTGCAACTTGTCTCGCAATGCCGTTGCACACAAGTTTCACCTAAAAGTTTCAACGTGTAACAGGGCCTTTAGAATTTAAAGTTTTGGGTTTTGCGGAGGGAAGAAAACTTGGAAAAACCCTTCCAATGAAAGGAAAGACGTAACAAACTCTACAACATGTGATGCTGAGTTCAGTAATCAAACCCTAGACCCCAGAGGGGAGAGGTGAGTTATGCATCAATGTAACCTTGATTCTAATAATATCTACGCATGTTTCTTTAGGAAAGACATATACACTCATGGCATCAGATGGTATCACACCCAAAATAGTCAATACCATCTTCTCCATTGTTGAAAGGGACCAACTTCATTCATACACTGTAAGTGATCTGTTTATTATAATTAKCAAGATAATATCACGTCAAAAGGCTGCTATCAGCCATACTTCTCTGCCCCCATCTGTTTGTTCGTTTATCCGTCATTCCATTTATCATTTTCTATTCCAACCATCCACCCATCCATCCATATATTCATCCAAGCATCCTTGCATGCATGCATCCATCGATTCATCCAACCAACCATCCATCCATCCATCCATCCATCCATCCATCCATCCATCCATCCATTCATCCAACCATCCATCCAACCATCCATCCATCCAACTATCCATCCATCTTAAACCATGTTTTTCGTCTTCCCCAGGTCACGTGTTCGTACTTACAAATATACCAAGAACGAATCTACGATCTTTTRTGCGCGGGAAAGATGCGCGAAGTGTTCCTTCGTGAGCATCCCAAGAAAGGTGTCTTCGTAGAACGCTTATCAGAATTACTTGTCAAGAGTCCGCAAGATGTGTCAACGTTCTTCACCACGGGAAGGAAAAGACTCGCTTTTGCGGAGACAAAGATGAACAGAAACTCCAGCAGGTAAAGGAAAATGTGATAATGTTATGCAGAGAAAATCAGTGCCACTGATGCGCGAAACAACGTAATTCTTGGGATGAATGTTACGTCATAGCCGCCATGTTGATTGACGATAACAAAACATTCCTCATTAACATTTCTTGTTAGATCAACCAACATGGGGGCTGTTTCATTGTTTGTTATATCTCAAGGGGTTTTGAGTCATGTGGTTGCACCTAAAGAATAGTATGCCGCAGGTTTTGTTGACCATAAACTCTTTTACACTGGCTTAGTCTCGTCTATAAGCTAAATATTCATAGACACCATTAAAGGTTAATAATAATAATAATTTATTGAATTTATATAGCGCAAATCTCAATCGGGGTATCTTCATCAGACACCATTAAAGGTTCACGTGATTTGAAAACATTAGTATCGTTCAAGTTGAACATTCTTTACATTTCAGTTGACTTTTGTGAATGAATTGCTCTTAAGCGAGGCTAAGCCTGTACAAATGAGTCTGTATAGTCATAAAATACAGCGGTAATTACCGATTAAGGATTCATGTCATATTGCATCTGCAATTTTGTATGCAACAACGAGATTGCACCATATATGCATGCGCAACTGCAATGTTACGTGTAAACATGACCTGCAACTTTGGCTATCATATGCTGTTCTCAGCCAATGAAAAGCGACCTCTCTAATTGTGTACCATCCATGACCATAATTGGATTACATTACGAGATATGCTTGCCCTCATGAATTTCTCGTTCATGAAATCTTTATCCAGTTCTCTCTTTAACCAYTCTCTCTGAGAGTCTAACGGCCATTACCCACGTTACTCTTACCCAGACCACCCTCATAAAGTATTATTTCTCTTGTGTACTGAACAGGTCACATGCTATTTGTCAGTTGAAGATCGAGAGAATAAACATGCCCACGCGATATGGAGGTGAGATGATTTGAAGAATAATATTTGCGATCATTAAAAAATTGATATTTTTGCAATAAAAAAGCAATATATTCTCATATCAAACCACTGACCAAACTCTCGGGGTAGTTTATCGGACTTGCGCTTACTTATCTACACTATCTTGCCAGCTAAGCGGCGAATTTTGTTTCAGCCAATCACAGCGCGTTTACCTGTTTTGCCGCCATCCTTAATTCCCAGGCTATTTTTCTGCTTTCTTTTGACTAAGATATAATATACGTGCCTACAAGAAGCAGAAATGTGGAAAGGAAGAATGAAACCAATTTCACTTTGCCGCCATGTTTGCTTCGTTCTTTCAAGCTTATGGCCGGTCGTTTTGTTCAATCATGCTTTGCGCGCTGCGTTTACCGCTCAGCTGGTATATATGTAGTATTTTGAATAAAGGTTGGTGAAGGTTTTGTTGCATGTTGCATTGTTTACCAAGCTTGAAATCATTATCATATGTAAATAATGTCAGCATAGAATGAAATATGCCAGAAAAAACGTGCAGAAAACGTTCGTGAATTTTTTCTGATTGAACTCACACCGTCCATATTGCATTTCGGGCTTGGTGTGTAAATGTAAGGAAAGCTTCATCAGAGYTTTTTGAAAGTTCCCTTTTTGAACATTTTAAGACGTCATCTATGATCTATGATCTATGATCAATAAGAGGGCAGTCAATGGAAATCTATGAGTGATTTGTTAAATAGCTTCGATTGTATGCGTGTAGATAGATCCTAAGCCTCTTTTGGATTCACCAAAACAAACATAACTCAACTTTCCATTGCCTTAAGTCTTAGTTGAATCTGCATATGTAATTACTACATTTAAATTTTGACCATCATATCTGTACAACATTGACATGTGCATTTGACCATCATATCTGTACAACATTGACATGTGCATTTAACCATCTTATATCTGTACA